ATCAAGAAAGTTATCTGCAATAATACCTTTTTCGTCAATAACAACAGTAATTCAAACTAAAAATATATCGAAAATGAAGCTTTATGTGGCAAATCCGATTACAGGAGGGAAGGCTGGTGCAAGACCAGGCGAGCCGATTATGGGGAGTTTAGTTTAGGGATTGTCAATGTGCACTCACTGAGTCTTGGTGCGCTCACTGTGTCTAGGTGCACTCACTGTGTCTAGGTGCACTCACTGTGTCCAGGTGCACTCACTGTGTCCAGGTGCACTCACTGTCTAGGTACACTCACTGTCTAGGTGCGCTCACTGTGTCTAGGTGCACTCACTGTGTCCAGGTGCACTCACTGTCTAGGTACACTCACTGTCTAGGTGCACTCACTGTGTCCAGGTGCACTCACTGTCTAGGTACACTCACTGTCTAGGTGCACTCACTGTGTCTAGGTGCACTCACTGTGTCCAGGTGCACTCACTGTGTCTTGGTGCGCTCACTGTGTCTAGGTGCACTCACTGTGTCTTGGTGCGCTCACTGTGTCTAGGTGCACTCACTGTGTCCAGGTGCGCTCACTGTCTAGGTGCACTCACTGTCTAGGTGCGCTCACTGTGTCTAGGTGCACTCACTGTCTTGGTGCACTCACTGTGTCTAGATGCACTCACTGTGTCTAGGTGCACTCACTGTGTCTTGGTGCACTCACTGTGTCTTGGTGCACTCACTGTGTCTAGGTGTACTCACTGTGTCTAGGTGCACTCACTGTCTTGGTGCACTCACTGTGTCTAGGTGCACTCACTGTCTTGGTGCACTCACTGTGTCTAGGTGCACTCACTGTGTCTAGATGCACTCACTGTGTCTAGATGCACTCACTGTGTCTAGGTGCACTCACTGTGTCCAGGTGCGCTCACTGTCTAGGTGCACTCACTGTCTAGGTGCGCTCACTGTGTCTAGGTGCACTCACTGTCTTGGTGCACTCACTGTGTCTAGATGCACTCACTGTGTCTAGGTGCACTCACTGTGTCTTGGTGCACTCACTGTGTCTTGGTGCACTCACTGTGTCTAGGTGTACTCACTGTGTCTAGGTGCACTCACTGTCTTGGTGCACTCACTGTGTCTAGGTGCACTCACTGTCTTGGTGCACTCACTGTGTCTAGGTGCACTCACTGTGTCTAGATGCACTCACTGTGTCTAGATGCACTCACTGTGTCTAGGTGCACTCACTGTGTCTAGGTGCACTCACTGTGTCTAGGTGCACTCACTGTGTCTTGGTGCACTCACTGTGTCTTGGTGCACTCACTGTGTCTAGGTGCACTCACTGTGTCTAGATGCACTCACTGTGTCTAGGTGCACTCACTGTGTCTAGGTGCACTCACTGTGTCTAGGTGCACTCACTGTGTATGGGCGAAATTGTGTTTAGGTACACTGTTTACGTGCACACAATGTCTACATGGACTCACTGTCTACATGTACACAATGCCTACGTGCACTCAGTCTACACGGACACAATGTTTATGTTCACTCAGTGTCTACGTGCACTGGGTCTAAGTGGACTCAATGTCTATGTAAACTCACTATGTTACTCACAGCACAAATAAAAAAGGTCACTGTATATCGTAACTTTTTAATTCCGACTCGTTGAACACAATAAGTGCAAGTAAAAAAAAACTACCACAATAAAAAATAAAGGCAACAAAACGGACAACAAAAATAAATTGTTAATCTCATGCCATAAACACAATGTTCCGGAACATTAAAAATGTTGTCGCATAGTCACGAGAAACGTGCAGCACATCACGCAATACTCACACTTTCGGAAAGAAAATTTAAAACAACGTTTCGCTCCGTCCTCGGTGACTATTGTCAAGTTACTTGACGATGGTTCACGACTGCCCGGAACGTACCCCTAACTTCTTTGCGAAAGTGCGGGTATTTTGTGGTTTGTTCCACCCACGCTGATGTGACTGTATTCTTCAGAACTGTAACACTCTACCAACAAACAATACAAACAAAACTTTATACCAACATAATAAATTGTAACAGTCTACTAACAACACTGTAACACTCTACTAACAGAACTCTAACAATAAAATTATGACACTAACAACAAACACAAGCAACAAACTCGACCAACATAATGAATTGTAACACTACCAACAACACTAACTTTCTACTAACAACAATATAACACTACTAACAATGTAACACTCTACTACCTACAATATAACATTACTAACAATACTGCAACACTATTAACAACAATGTAATACTGCTAACAGTGTGACACTTTACTAACAACACTGTGACACTACTAGCAACACTGTAACACTACTGACAACACTGTAATACTCTACTAACAACATTGCAATACTACTGTGGCGTGCGCCGAGCATGTTACATTTTGTTCTACGTCCGTCATACAACCATTTGGTATGCCCTCTCGACCAGTAAACTGACAACTCAGAGTGTAACAGTTCTGGGACCCCACTGTTGTGCTTAATGTCCAGTTCAAACCCGCCAATCACGTGGAAGCCGGCTACTTCAGCCAAGGCGACGTCACTTCAGCTGGGCTGAGTGGCAGACCTCCAGACACTGGTCATGATCACTACTGCTCCGAGTAGTTCTGGTTTGTACAATTTTAATCTGCCTTATTCTCTCACCATTAATAGTGTATAGGTGAAGGAAAACATTTGTAAAGAAATCTACCCCAGCTTGTTTGCCTTGCCTTTGTTCTGTCCTGCTGAGTTCTCTGTTTGCTGACTTAGTTACGACCAGGTACAACAGCCCCTCAGACTGCCACCTATGTCCGTAATAACTCCTAACATCAGTGTAACACTCTAGTAACACTGTAACACTACTTACAAAACTGCAACAATAACACTCTACCAACAAAACTGTAACATTCTAAAAACAAAACTCTAACACTACCAACAAAATTGTAACACTAACAAGAAAACAAGCAAATACGTATCAAAGTTATATAAAAACGAAGGACCGAGTGAACATGAAGTCCCTGGTAAAGGCCGTAACCATGGAACAAAGTTAAAAATATGAAACATAGAGTAAAAAAAAAATAAGGCTTTGT